GCAGTGTCTCTGTTCTTCACCCCGTAGTTATTACTCACCCAAGAAAAAGTGTTTGGATGGTGGGATGAGAATGGAAACGTCTCTGTTTTCTCAGGTTTTGACAGTGTTTGGTGGTTGGTCACTTATTGGTTTGCCATGCTTAACATATCTTATTAATGTAATTAATATAAGCAGGAGAGAGAGAGAGAGAGAGAGAGAGAGAGAGAGAGAGAGAGAGAGAGATACTTTATTAAAAGTCACCTGAGGACTTTTCACTGAGTCTCATTCCCTGGAGAGTGTTTTCACCTTCCGCTAAGTGATTTAAAGAAAGGACATGGCAGCAGGCTCACAGACACTTGCATTTAATCCCAGCATTCCAGAGGCAGAGACAGGAGGATCCCTGTGAGTTCCAGCCAAGCCTGGCTTACATAGTTCCAGGACATCAAGGGCTGCATAAACATATATTTCATACCTGAATAGTTTTGTGTTTTCTTTAGAACTATAAATAACTAGAATTGTATGAATTAAAATACATTTAAATGATCCTTACCATGTCAGATTGGGCTACACAAATGGCTCAGAGGTTAAGAGCACTGACTGCTCTTCCAGAGGTCCTGAGTTCAGTTCCCAGCAACTACATGGAGGCTCACAACCATCTGTAATGAGATCTGGTCCAGTCTTCTGGAGGGATACATGCAGGCAGAACACTGTATACATAATAAATATTTTTTTTTTCTTTTTTAGTTTTTCAAGGCAGGGTTTCTCTGTAGCTTTAGAGCCTGTCCTGGAACTAGCTCTTGTAGACCAGGCTGGCCTCAAACTCACAGAGATCCACCTGCCTCTGCCTCCTGAGTGTTGGGATTAAAGGCATGCACCACCATCGTCCTGCCAATAAATAAGTAATTTTTAAAAATAAGGAAACATGTAGTCAGATCATTTTATCTTTGGAAAGGCTTTCATTTCCAAAAGTGCAAATTATGCTAATTGGGGAAAATGCCTTTTGAGATTATTTTAATTTTTAAATACTTTTGGGATCTGAAAGTGATAAACAGTATATAGGAATGAGCTTGGTTGTTTCTTTGAATTACCCAGAATTCTTATTTATTACCTGTTGTAGGCGCCTGCTTGTTTGTTCTCAGCCACTCAGACTCAAAATACTGTATTAATTAAAATCACTGTTTGGCCAATCACTTAAGTGTATTGCTGGTTAGCTCTTACATCTAGAGTTAGCCCATTTCCATTATTTTATATTTTACCATGAGGCTTGTGGCCTACTGGCAAGGTTCCTGCTGGCAGCTTGCGTCTTTCCCCTCTGGTGGCTACATGGCATCTCGTGACTCCTCCTTCTTTCTCCCAGCATTCAGTCTAGTTTTCCCCACCTACCATTTTGCCCTTCGCTCACCCAAGACAGTCCTTTGGTATTCACAGCATACAGAGGGGAATCTCACATTAATTGCCTATTATTCTAACTTAAGAACACCCCTGCTTTATGTGATACTGTTATAGGAGATAACATATAGGAGAGTGCTTTGGAGTTGGTTTGTCCTTTGGATGTTCTTTTTCACTCAGTTGCCTCTGCTACTTGGTGATTTTTAGTCATCTTTTAAAATTTTTTTGTACAGTAGATTTTGGTCATATTCTTTCTCCCTTTTTAAATACTCTCGTTCTTTTTCAAAGCATGGTTTCTATGTGGAATCTTCCCACTTGTCTTAACTTACAATTAATCATAATTGTTTATTTTACAATTCATTATTTTTGTGCAATTTTCTTTGGTGCTTAGATTGCTTTAGGATTTTTTTCATTTTATTTTATTTGTATTAGCCATATAAATTATCTATTCATGTTTGGTTTCCAAGTACATAATTCACACTATTTGCTGACTTAAAGATACTTGGATAGACATTGTCCCTATTGTGTTTTTAATACATTTTAAAACTGATTATATATGGTGTTTATTTTAAGCTATTTACTAATGGACTACTACTAATTGTCTATGTTACTTTGATAATCACCCAACTTCTTTCCTTATAAAGTTTGAATTAATGTTTATTTAGGTGCCCTTTTAAAGGAAAGGACTTTTATTTGTCAGACCAAAATGAATTGCTTTTTCATAGAATTATATTGTGAAAAGGATCTATTCTTAGGATCATAAATACCAGAGCAGCCAGTGTTCTTACCTGCTGAGCCATCTCTCCAGCCCCTATTGTTACATTTAAGATAACTCAAGAGCTTGTGTTACAGATTCTCAGTCAGCTGCTGCTGATTAGGATTTCAGATTATTTTCCTTCTGGTTCATTAAAGAACATGACACGGTAAAGTTTGCCTGATTTGCTCTTTAAGCATCCCTAGTCAACAGAGATCGTGGAGCATTTCCTGCATATCTGAATCATCTGTAAACTTGGGTTCTTACTGCTTGGGGAAGCATTACTTGACCCTGGGGCAAAGCTGTACCTCTCCCAAAGTGTATGACTGTTAGGCATGCTGCTCAGTTAACAGCTTGCTTGTGGTTTCTGTCCCAGTTCATCTCTATTGCGTGCTGTGCACTGATTTCTTAATCTCTCCTGAGAAACCTGTTAAATATTTCATGCCTTGTAGCTCCATTAGGAGACCTGTACTAGCAGGACCAGGACTATAGGTCAGTGTTAGCTTGCTGGCCTCACATCCACACACACATACACACATAATGAAATCAGAGGAATAAACTGATAGCAGTAATGGCATTATTATTAGACATAAATGTAGGAAATGCCAGGTAGAAACACTTGGGGAACTGAAGCAAGGAGGTCCAGAAACCTTTCTTCGTAGAGTGTAACTCAAAAAACCTCATGCTTTATAGTTACCTAAGAGTACTTTCTTAAAAGTTCATCCCTGAGATACATAAATGGAGTTGTAAAATTAGAATACCACTTATATTAGTGCATCTGTTTCCTATGAGTTATAGTTAGAAAGGATAAATGGAAAGATGAAAGGAATGAAAATTAAAACTTCAAATTCCTTTCTAAGAAGTTACAAGAGAATACTAATTAAATAATACTGAAAGTATAGCAATGGGCTGGAGAGCTGACTCGGTGGTTAAAAGCACTTGTGGCTCTTGGGTTTGATTTCCAGTACCCACATGCTGGTTCACTCCACTTCCAGGGTATTCTGTATACTGATACCCCCCTTCTGACCTCTAAGGGCAATAAGCATACACGTAGTGCACATACATGCATACACACAAGCAAAACACACTTTAAAAAAATCCAATAAATTTAGCCAGGCAGTGGTAGTGCACACCTTTAATCCCAGCACTTGGGAGGCAGAGACAGAGGCAGGTGGATCTCTTGAGTTTGAGATTAGCCAGGTCTACAAAATGAGTTCCAGTACAGCTAGGGCTACATAGAGAAATGCAGTCCCAAAAAAACAAAACAATCTAGTAAGCTGTTTAAAAATACAACAAACAAAACAAAAAGGAAGCTGACTATGGTGACACACCTTTTTTTTTTTTTTTTTGCCAATTAGAAAACATTTATTAATCTCTTCCTAGGTTCAAGCCATCATGGTAAACTATGTAAAAGATCTAAAAAGAAAAAAAAGGTCTTATTTACATTTTGGTGACACACTCTTAAAACTCCGAGAACTCAGGAAGCGGCTGAATTAGACCTTAGATACAGATGGGGGCCAGCAAGATGACCTAGTGGGTAAAGGCACTCTCCACTAAGCATGGCAACCTGAGTTCAATCCCTGGACTTACTAACGGAAGAGAGGACTAACTCATGCTTGCCTCTGACCTTCATGTGTATGCCGAGGCATTACTCTGCCCCATTTCCCTACCCCCTATAAGTAATAAAATTTGAAAATGACAGCAACAAGCAGAGCTTTGCGAAACACATTCATTCCAGGACTACTCATGAGAAGTAATTCTGACAGAACTAGTGTGACTATGGCTAACTTTAATACCAATACTTTCTCTCTGTACCTGTATGTTGAAGAACAAAGGAGAAAATTAAAAAGCAAAAGCAAGCTATCTGGACATAGTAACTCCTGTCTGTAAATCTAGCCCTGGGAGGCAGAGGTGGCAGGATCAGAAGCTCAGGGCCAGCCTAATCAGCATCACAAATCCCTGCCTGGAAATAAGTAGAGCTGGGGATGTAGCTCAGTGATGGAATGTGCCAGGCCCTAGGTTATTCCCCACAAAATAAAAACTCAAAATTGAAACAAAAGCTGTAATACACTTTCAACCGGTGCTAATACTTTAGGGCAATGGTTCTCAGCCTTCCTAGTGTTCTCAGCCTTCCTGGTGTTGCGACCCTTTGATACAGTTCTTCATACGGTGACCCCCAACCATAAAATAATTTTTGTTGCTACTTCGTAACAATAATTTTGCTGCTGTTATGAATTATAATGTAAATATCTGTGTTATGTGATGGTCTCAGGCGAGCTCTATGAAAGGGTCGTGGACACCCAGCCCCCCAAGGGGTATAGACCCACGGGTTGAGAATCACTGCTTTAAGCCATCTCTTCCCTACTGGAAATGCAAAATGTAACCTCTATTTGTTTCTGTATGAAAACTTGATGAGCTAATAGTTTGGAATGTCAGGATCATTTTTTCCATATATAATACTTTTACTTTTCAACATTCTGAAATTTTAAGCTTATAAAAGCTTCATGACTTATGATTATTAGCATCAGTTGAGTGACTTCTGTGGTTGTCATATGTTGTCAGGCAATGCTTATGGTAGAGGTTTGAAAGGTTTTCTCAGTGTCTCGTTCACTAGTTCACCAGTCTCCTAGGGATATATAGGGGATCCATGTAGCAGCTTCAGGTTTCCTTGTTCAGTGTGTGAATGTTTTAATATAGTTTTTAACTCAGTAATTATCTGTGTGATGCATATATTTTAAATATAGAAAGCATAAGATTTAATCTTATAGAAAAGGAACCCAAAATATATGTAGGATGTTTATTTGAGAGATGTTATTTTAAGTCCCGTTCTTTCGTGAGCCCTGCTGTGAACTGCCAACTGTGTGCATGTGTATGAAAGGTTAAAAGCCCGGGTAGCTGAATGGGGTGCCATGCTGTTAGCAGACGACGAAGGCAGTATCACTCACCAGGTGCACGCCGTCCGCTCTGTAGAAGATTCCATCTTCATGGAGTCATCTCATGGCGAGCTTTTTCTTGATGACAGGTAACATTTCCCACCATCAGTGGGTTGGCTGCGTTAGAATCTTTACAGCTAGAAAAAAACTGAGATCTAAATATTCTCTTCCCTAACCTTTTAAGAAAATAAAAACATTGCCTGTTGGAAAAACTAGCTTGCAATGTAGAATAAACCTGTGCTATCACTTTGCTTTGTCCAACACAACTGAGAAGAGACTTGTGAGGATGTGATGTTGAGTGCATGTGTTGTTTGGCTGTGCCGAGATGCATGGGGCACTGGCTTGTGTTGCAGTGGTTTCTAGAGAAGAACAGATTGCATTTTGTGAAAGCTAATCCAAACATTATGTAAGTATGACCAAGGCAAAGTAGCTGTGCACAGAGTTGACCTCCTTGACTCTTAACTCCTTTGCATACTGCATCTTGGTCTTTTAGTATCCGACTTTTGCTTCAAATCTGCCTAATTGTAAAGTAACCAAGACTGTCTCACTAAGCTCTTTCTGGAAGTTTTTACATCACCTCAATTGTGTGCACTTACCCAAGAACCCGGCCTAATTCTCTTCATTGACACTTAAATAAAATGTTCCAACCATTTAAGCTTTATCCTTGTCATGGTAAGCTGTCATACTTGAGACACCTGAGGGTACTTAGCAGTATTATTAACTGAGCATGCCCACAAACTCAGTTTGTGGTATTAGACTGTCCCTGTTCTCATTGTATATAATATAGCTTCTTTGTGTCATCACTTTTTGATGAATCATATTCCATCATGCCATTTATTTGGTGTCATTATCACTGCCTGTCTAACTAACATCAAGGTTTGTTGGGTTTAGTTTTAGTTTTTTTCTCTTCAATTAGCATTAACCAAACTAAGCATTAATCAGTCTTCCCTTCTTCTTTGGGGGGAATTTTTTAGAGGGGGTGAATTTCTAAGTCTCAAGTTTTTCACATATTAAGACTTGCTCTTGAGACAGTATTACTGTCACTTGTCAGTTAACTGCTTACAAGATAGCTTTTGATTCCTAAGAATAGAAGTTTTTGTCTTGCTTGCATTTCATGAATAAGACCCTAAGAATTGTAAGACTCCAGCCTAATTCTCCTTTTGAAGGACTGTGGTGACATTAAAATGTATTCAGCTGATTTATCTAACTTTATTTCCCATGTCACAAAAGTGTATAAAATTTTAAGTGTCAACTTCCAAGTAGTAGCTAATTGTAAAGACATTTGTCTTTACTGGTGTCTGTATTGTATGTATAGCCATGTATATGAATGTTTTGGGTAAGCATTACTATATGTAATTAGCCTGACAAGTGTGCTAATATTTCACCCAGATAGAGGGTTAGGTTAGATGATTGCTGTAAAATTTCCCTACTAATAATGTTTTAAATATAAATTCTATTTTCTGACTGCAGGCACGTGACACAAGCTGACCTCAAGAGCTCCACGTTCTGGCTTCGAGCGAGTTTTGGTGCTACCGTTTTTGCAGTTTTGGGCTTTGCTATGTACAAAGCATTATTGAAACAGCGGTGATTAAAAAGTAATAATAATCGGCCTACCAAAAGCAAATACTTTTATGTACATTCTGAATGCTTTAAATTCTGCTAGAAATATTGAGATATTTATACATGCAGAGTTACTTTATTAATATTTGTAATTCATGCATAAGAGTATTTTACTGATAGTTGATGACTGCAGTATTGGCTGGCATGTGGAAGAAAACACCTTAGTAGCCAAATTTAAGTAAGTGGCTGAATTTCAGAGGCCAAAAGGGAATATTTTGTAAATAATGTATATATTCAGGCAAGATATGGTCTCCCACACTGAGTCCTAGAAATGGTGTTTGCAGACATTTCTACATTAGCGTCATAGTGTTCACTTGGCTCACTCCACTAGGTTTCAGTCACCAGAGATCGTGCCACTCTTGAATCACGTATTTATTTCACGTTGACTCAGAAAGATCCTTTGGCTTCTACAGCCACTTCTCCCTGTTTCTAAGATCACACAGGAGTCAAGGTTAGCTTTCCAAAACCACTTGTTTCCGTCACTTATGCTAGGCCAGAATCGAAGCCATTGTGAAATCTAGAAAATTGTGTAGCTGAGAGTGTGACTGAGGAGCTGAGGCAGAAGCGGCTAGCAAAGGTGTTACCTGTGTGACTACAGTGCTTGTCAGTGTGTGGGATTTTATAGCCCTTTCAATCAAACGGGAAACAATTTGTATATTATCAATGTTTTTAGTTTGAACAGGCCGCCCTGACCACTGCTGATCTTCATCTGAAGTGAAACTGTTCTCTAATGGCCGTGTCTGTTGTAGTTTCTGCCGTAGCTGCATGTGTCACAAAGTGTTCTATATCTGGCTGGGATAATCTAGAGGCAGCACTTTTTTAATGGTAAAATAAATCTAATGAATATAAACTCTCACAATAAACCTATTTTTTCCATCATTGACCTTTTTAGGTATTTAAATAAATAATTACTGTGTAATGTGATGTGGGGTTTTGTCTTATAAAGTATCTCTGTCCAGGTGGGAGTCAGCTCCTCTGCTTTCTTCCTTCTTAGTTTAGAAATTATTTTTTATACAAAAGCACCATCCTCAGGAGGAGGGAAGCCGAGTAGGCTCTATGTATCTCATATCTGAGAGATATGTCCTCAGAGGCCAGCATACCTCTGCTTGCGCCGGCTGCTGTGGCTGCTGCTGGCTTAGGGTTAGACCTCACCTTTAACATGATGGCTCTTCCCTCTGCTGTCCTGAGGACATTTTTTTAATTAATTTATTTATTAATTTATTAAAAATTTCCACCTCCTTCCATTTCCCTCCCACTCCGTCCCTCCCCCTCCCTCTCCAGTCCTAAGAGCTGTCAGGGTTTCCTGCCCTGTGGGAAGTCCAAGGTCCTCCCCCCTCCATCCAGGTCTAGGAAGGTGAGAGCATCCAAACAGACTAGGCTCCCACAAGGCTAGTCCATGCAGTAGAATCAAAACTCAGTGCCATTGTCCTTGGCTTCTCAGTCAGCCCTCATTGTCAGCCACATTCAGAGTCCAGTTTGACTGTAATGCAAAGGACACTGTCATTAAGACAAAAAGGCAACCTGAGGACATTTTCTCAAGTGGTCACACTTCCTGAGCAACTGATCACAGCTTAGCCCATTATAAACTTGTTCTTTTGCTTATTCCCTGTCTCTCCTTCCTCTTCCCATTTTCACTCTAAATTTAAAGAAAAAATTAAACATGGCAACACCTCAGTTTTATTATTTTAAATTTTTTATTATACTGTATTTATTTGTGTATGTGTGTGTGTATGGGCCCGTGTATGTTGTAACGTGTGTGTTCAGAAGACAACAAATCAGAGGAGTCAGGCCTCGGGTACAGGGTGGGTCTTGGCAGTGGGATGGTGAGCAGGAGACTGCCTGCTGAGCTATCTCTCAGGCCCTTAATTTTGATTGCTTTCTGACAATTTCCCACATGCCAAATAAATTGATCTCAGTTGCACACTTTTCAAAGAAAGCTATGTCCTTTCACATTTCTTTTTGTTTTGACTAAAATAATAGCCCTTAAATATTGCTGTGTTTGTGAGAACCAGGAAAGAAAACAATTTGTCAAGAGGCAGAAAGTGGCCATGCATGGTGGCGCACACCTTTAGACCCAGCACTCAGGAGGCAGAGGCAGGTGGATCTCTGAGTTCGAGGCCAGCCTGGTCTACAGAGTGAGTGCCACAAAAATTGTCACCACATAGAGAAACCCTGTCTCCAGGTGGATTGGGGTATGTGTGCGGAAAGTGCAGGGTTTATATATTTAAACTTTTTTTCTCACTCTTAATATATTTATTTATTTTTGAGGATTTTGTTTGTTTGTGTTTTTTGTGACAAGGTCTCATCTAAATACTTTTTGGGTGTCCTGGAACTCCCTTTATTGACCAGGGTTGCTGTAGATCTACCTCCTAAGTGCCAGGATTAAAGGCTAACAGAATGTGCCACCATGCCTGGCTGATCTTGTCGTTTTTGTCCTTGATTCACAAAACGTCAAGAGAGGAGAGATGCCCCAATTGTCTCTGTTGGTGGATGGCAGGCGTGTAGGTATGTTCCTTTGTTTTACATCCATTTTAGGAACTAGTTAATGTGGGAAAACACAGTAAGAGGCTTCTTCTGACTTGGACGGTTTGCTCCAAAAATGCAAGCTGTAAGAATACTTAAAAAAAAAAAAAATGAATTGGGGACTAAAGAATTAAAAGAAAACCTTTCACCGAATACCAGCTGAATTGTCTTGTAAACGAGCAATTCTGAGACCACTTGTTAAAATGGTTGGTTTTTTTTTTTGTTTGTTTTTTTGAGACAGGGCTTCTCTGTAGTTTGGAGCCCGGCTGTCTTTTCTTTCTTATAAATTAAACACTCCAAGTGTTTACCAGTTTTGAGCCAGATGGTAGTGGCGCACTCTTTTAATCCCAGCAGTCGGGAGACAGAGGCAGGTGGATCTCTGTGAGTTCGAGGCCTGCCTGGTCTACAAGAGCTAGTTCCAGGACAGACTCCAAAGCTATAGAGAAACCCTGTCTCGAAAAACAAAAACAAAAAACACACAAAAAAGTTTTAATGAGTAATAAATAAGACATTTTAAAAAGAACTGTCGCCGGGCAGTGGTGGCGCAGGCCTTTAATCCCAGCACTCGGGAGGCAGGCGGATCTCTGTGAGTTCGAGACCAGCCTGGTCTACAAGAGCTAGTTCCAGGACAGGCTCCAAAACCACAGAGAAACCCTGTCTTGAAAAAATATAAATAAGTAAATGAATAAATAAATAAATAAATTTTAAAAAAAAAGGACTGTCACTTTGAAGGCTTATCCTATGGCTTACTCACCATAACATACTCTCCCTTCATGCCTCAGGGGTCTTAGCTTTGTGCTGTGATATCATTCTTATGTACATTTGCCCAAAAAAGCTCCCATATTGTTTGTAGTAATAAATACCAGAGTAAGTGTGGGCTGTGATGGTAGACATTTGGGGAGCACATAACCATCTGAAGTGACCTACAAAATGAAAGTAGAGAACAGTGGACATCTTGTTCTGTGCATATTTACACATCAGCTACGTGGAAGGCATCACAGGAGAGTAGACTGATGGAGCCAATCCTGAATGAAAGGATAACCATCCTGACCTGCAGAGAGATGGTGGAACAATGAGCAGCAGAGAAGAAACAGAGGTAAGTGCGCAATCTCTGTGGTTTCCTAAAAGGCCCTTAGAATGCAAGTAAGATTAGCTTTGATACCCCCACTTTGCCTGGACTGTATTAGTATAAGTCAGGATAAAGCCTCTTTAAAATGTACAGTTGTTTTTATCTTTTTTGTCTGTTTGTTTTCAAGACAAGGTCTAACCCTAACACTAACAAGTTTCTCAGTGTATCCCTGGCTATCCTGGAACTCACTCTGTAGACCAGACTGACCTCAAACTTGGGGATCCACCTGCCTCTGCCCCCTGAGTGCTGGAATTAAAGGTGTGCACCACCACCACCCAGCTGTTTGTCTGTATCTTTGGAGGGTTGCTTCCAAGAGCTTCATGAATACCAGCCCTCAGATGCTTGAGAGTATGTGTGCGTGTAAATAATATAAATAATATATATATAACATATAATAATGTATATAACCCATGCACATCCTCCTAGTTTACTTACAATATCTAACTATTTCGTGCTTACAATATATTTTACAGTATAAAGGCCATATAAATAGTTATATTTTTCTTAGGGAGTGATGATAAGGAAAAAAATGTCTGTTCTGGAGCAAATGCAGCCATACTACTAAACTAGACAGCACATGGATGAGATGTGTTGGACAGTACAGGTCTGTGGAGGACTGGAGGCTACATAAGGATACCTACACATTACAATATCTTCATGGGCTCCCTGTCATACTTGGCAGCTTACAAATTCAAGTTATAATTTTTTGCTACTTTTTGAAAAACTATTTTTAATACAGGTTTGACCAAATCTGCAAAGAGAACTCACAGAGGTGATTATGCAGATCTTAGAAACACGTGTCAGTGGATGTATAGCTCAGTGTTGGAGCATGTGCTTAGCACTTGTAAGTCCCTGAGCTTCATCTCCAGTACAGACAGACCGACCAGTAGTAGATAGCCTAGTCTTACTAGCATGCTTATTCATAACATTTTAATTTGAGGGGAGTGATCTTTTTTCTTTTAATATTTTATTTATTTATTATGTATACAATATTTTTATTGCATGTATGCCTACAGGCCAGAAGAGGGCACCAGACCTCATTACAGATGGTTGTGAGCCACCATGTGGTTGCTGGGAATTGAACTCAGTACCTTTGGAAGAGCAGGCAATGCCCTTAACCTTTGAGCCATCTCTCTAGCCCCGAGGGGAGTGATCTTGAGACAGGGTTTTTCTGTGTAGAGCCTTGGCTTTCTTGGAACTCGATCTGTAGACCAGCCTGGCCTTAAACTCATAGAGATCCGCCTGCCTCTACCTCCCAAGTGCCGGGACTAAAGGCATGCACTACCATTACCCAGCTTCTCTCTTGTGTTATTAACTCTGTTAAAATGCCCTCTCAGCAAGAACAAATAAATGTCTGTTAACCTGTTTGGCCCTTAGATATGAAAGTCTCATCTACTGTGGATATCACATTGGTATATCTGAGAATGTTCTAGTGTATCCAAATTTCAGAAACCAGTCCCCTTCCCCTGTGACACACTCAGACTCCCCAGTCTGCTTATCTCAGTTTCAGGGTTCATAAAGTTTAGCCACTGTATTGGATGTAGAGATTTTGCCACTATTAGGACTACGGCCTGACCTCACAGAGCCACTCTGCTTCTTGCCATGCTTTCTAGGGGAGCGTTTGCACTGTAGGTTTTTTTTGTTTGTTTTGTTTTTTTCCTTTCCCAGAGCTTGTTACCAGAGTGATATTAATGTGCCTGTAGTAGTTTAACTTACAGGTTGCAAACTCTTTCTGTAAAAGGTACAAACAGTAAGCATCAGACTTCCACTACAGAACCCTGTGTAGAATGAAGATCCCTGTAGACACAAGGTAAGCAAATAGATGTGACTTCATGTATACTGAAATTAGTATTTCATACAACCTTTACATGCCACAGAAGAGTCTTTCTGGATTTTTCTTTGGTGATCAGTTTTTTGATTTTGTTTTTTCTCATGTGTGAGTGCATCTAAGTATGTGTGTGTGTGTGTGCATCTAAGTATGTGTGTGTGTGTGTGTGTGTGTGTGCATGCATGTATAAGAAGCCCTAAGGTTGACTTCATGTGTCTTCCTTAATTGCTTTTCACTTTATTTTTTTATTTTACTTTTTGATTTTTTTTTTTTTCATGACAGGGTTTCTCTGTGGCTTTCGAGCCTGTCCTGGAACTAGCTCTGTAGACCAGGTTGGCCTTGAACTCACAGAGATCCACCTGCCTCTGCCTCCCAAGTGCTGGGATTAAAGTTATGAACCACCACATCCCTTGGGTTTACTTGACCATTAAAAATCTAGAGTTC